TTTAAGAACAAATTATAAAGTTTTTGGGTTTGACTTCTCTCATGTTGAAGATCCAACTTGAGAGAGCATTTAGATTTAGTGGGCCCATTTTGAACCCAATCTGTGTGATCCAAACCATTGGCTTTTTAGTACTCATTGAGAAAAATATTTATGTCAAAAATAAGATGATTGGATTTTAGTAATTGTATGTTTGAATCACATTTATTTAAAAAAAATGGACAGCAAATATAATTGTAAGAATAACCATATATTTTTTAACGATAAATGTGATTCAACCATATAGTTATTAAAATCCAATCATGTTGATTTTTTAATTAATATTCTTCTCAATGAATTTAAAAAAGTGAACGATTTGAATTACTGAAATTAGACTTACAATATACCCATTAAGCTTAGCAGTTTAATGTGTACCCTTGGGACAGCTTAGCAGTTTTCTCTGACATTAGATGTATTTCCCAGGTTTGGCCCCTGTTTTTTTGCTGGACAAAGCGAACCTCTAACCATGTTGCATACTGGGGTGCCCATACATGTGTCCTGTCACAACTGCCTGTTAACTAGGTAGCTACACCCTCTCAGGAATTGAGTTGTTTGGCTCACCTGAATGTTTATCCTCCTACATCTTAATATATATTCCTTTGATTAAAGAGTGGGACCCCTTTCTCCTCACTCCCTTTGACCCCCTTTCTTTTTTGATTAGTTATTATTTATATTTCTTTTTTTTTTCTTTTTTTTTTCTCCTCCAATCACCACCCGCCACGTGTGTGTGGGGTGGTAGGAGTTGAAGTTTGAGAGGGTCTAAATCACTGCTGTTGCTCAAAAAAAAAAAAATATTTATATACCCATTAAGCTTAAGTACTCTCTCCAATTGAATTCTCAATATGGAAGAAGTCAAATCTAAATTTTTTTACTATTCTATATTTTTTTATAACATTTTTTCATGCTATTATATTTTTTAAACTTACCACCGACGACAACCCTTCTTTGTTAAGTTTAGAAAATATTAAAAAAACTAAAAGGAAAATATATTTTTGACCGCAACAATATCTGACGATCAAATGACAACTTTTATAAAGTAAATGACAATATTGTAACCAAATGACAACTTTTTAAAAGTAAATGACAATATTGTAACTTCGTCAATATCGTAAAGGGTTGTTATGTACCATTGAAAAATGAGAAATCAAAATAAAATTAGATATAAAGTATATGAACAAAATGTAATTTAGTTATTGTTTGGCATTGACTTTTTTAATTGACTTTTTTGAGTTAAAACTTTTTAGTTTGGGATTAAAAAGTTCGTTTGATTTATTTTTTGACTTTTATAAGAGAAAAAATAAAATAATTATGATTTAGATATGACATTTTATCTTATTGACTTATTTAACCTATTTTATATTTTGTGCTTTTTTAATCCAACTAAATTAGACAAACAAAGACTTTAATACTATCATTAATAGTCACCTCATTCACCTCCACAACTTTAAAAGAAAGGAAGTTACGATCTATTTATTTTCAAAGATAGAGAGTGGGATTAAACTAACAGAGATGAGAGATTTATAAGCATCCAAGGAGGGGACTAGCAACGAAGGTAATATTCAAATATAATCTCATGGTACTAGAGTTGAAATGACTATTTTATTCATTTTACAAAAAAAATTCTTATATATTAAAATATAATAGTATAATAATATATTTATACCAAAATATATATATATATATAATAATATAATATTAAAAATATATATTATATTTATAAAATATAATTTTTAATATTTTAAAGAATATAAAAAAAATAATAGAAATATTTATAAAATTTCATAGATTTAATTATATCAAAATGACCCCAAAAAAAAATTCTTATAATACCCATAGGCATCAAATACATATAATTTTTCTTAATCTTTCTACTCTCACACTAATAATTTCTTCCCTCATAATCCCTAGCCCAACTCTAAAACGAACCAGCAATTTCCTAGTCGGTAGCTACTTGCCTTGCCTCACGGTCAAAGGTAGGAGAAATTATTTGGTAGTCCTGAGGCACCATGATATGATATTTTAAAAATATTATGATTGATGAAGATGATAAAATTCATTCAATCATGCTACAAACCCTAACAAAACGACCCACTGAACTACCGAAAATACATTTAGGGCTTGTTTGGTAACTATTCAATTTTTAGTTTTTAGTTTATTTTTACAAAACTTTAAAAAACTGTCATAAAAACTTTTTTGATAATTTTTTTAGTTTATAAATGGTTGTCTCAGTTTATAAATTTGAGCAAAAAACCTAAACTAAAAAAATGAGTTTACGTTTTCAGTTTTCAATTTTTTTTCAAATAATTTTTTTTCAATTATTTTTTTTTCAAGTAATTTTTTTCAATTAATTTTTTTTCAAATAATTTTTTTTTTCAAATATTTTTTTTTCAAATATTTTTTTAATTAATTTTTTTTTTATTTTTTTTCAATTAATTTTTTTTTCAATTAATTTTTTTTCTAACCAAATTAATTCCATAGAGAAAATTAAATTTTTGTAATACTTCAATAATTAAAAAACTAAAACTGAATTTTTTAATTAATGAACACTCAGAAATAAATTAAGAAAATCAAAATTAATTTCTGACAAAATTCCACAAATAAATATTTTGAATTGTTAATGACACCAGTATATTACTACTAGTTGTCAAAGAAAAAGACAGTATATTACTACTATATGTCAAACATTATATTACTACTATTTGTTTTCCAACCAGAATATTATTTTGTAAAATCATAGAAAGTAATTTCTGTAAGAAGAAGAAAGAAGAAAGAAGAAAGAAGAAAGGAAATAAAGGAAAAATTCTGTAAACTGAATAATTCGAATATGTCTTAAGATTGTTGGAACAATCTTCTGTGTAAATAAAATAAATTGAAACTAAATCAAACAAAATAAAAAAAATTATTATAAATATGTTCATTGATGTCAAACTAACATCAACTTAATTAAATTATTGCAAACAAATTTTTCAACCAAAGTGAACACATGACAAACGGTGGCAGACTGGCAGTGTCCTCTAACAAATGATTATTTCTCACTATATATGTTTGCAAACTGTAATTCCCATAACTAATAAGTGTTACATTTCTTACTCATCAGCAATATGTTAATTGGATTCGTTGGTGTGACGAATCAAGGAGACGGAGCCCCGACCATGACTCATCAACAACCAATGTCATGCAATTATGGGATGATGTCCTGCAATTATTAATACTTTACGTGTAATGAAAACAGTTTTTGTGTCTTGTGCATCATGGTCATCATCTTATTACTGCGAATGTAAAGTTTGTAGCTGATATAGTTATTTATTACCCTTGTATATAAGTAATGCTGGGAAGAAGTACTGCTTTGAACAAGTAATTGCATTGTCATCCTGTTTATGTAAACGTTATATGCTGTCACTCACTAGGTAAAAAGACGTTTTTACCCTTCGTTGCTCATATCTACAGACCCAAAAGACAACTGATCATAAGGCCTTTTACCTCTTTCATCTGTATTGTCTCTACCTTGGGTGTGAACAGAGGGTTTGAAAGAAGAGTGAGGTTTCTCTCTCCGGCAGAACTTGGACGTAAAGACCCACCAGCCGACTGTTTAACGCGCTGATCGTCAAAGACCAGCGACAGGTAGGGTATACTGACCCTATTCCTGTGCTTCTTCTTCGTTTTCGAACTTGATCTTGCTGGTTTTGAACCCACTGTTTCAGATCGCACTATGATTTGGCTGGTATTGCTGGTATTTTGTTTTTTTTTCTTTCACCGATCTGCACCGATGAACATTTTTTTTCCTCCTTTAGTTATTTTGGTTTTTTTTTTAAATTTGTAAAAAAAATAGAAAAGTGATATGACCTAAAAAAATCAAAAAGTCAAAAAATTAATTTTTAACCAAAATGCCAGCCAAAGTAACTTGGTCAAAAAAAGAATAATAAATTATTATTAAATATCTAATTTGGATATTAAAAATATAATAATGTTATTTTTTCAAAAAAAATTATTTGTAAATTTTTATTTTAAAATTTAATTTGCTGTAATATTTTAATATTTTTTAAAAATAAATAAAAAAATATAATTTAAATCTATGCAATCGAAATAGTCATCGAAATGACAATCTACACTAATGGGTAGAATTGATCATGTACGGCTCACGTGAGTTTAATATCTCAAATAATTTTGAAAAATAATATTAGAGTTCTTAAAAATTTTATCAAAAATTTTATAAAATATCTTACATAAATGTGAGACTTACACAATGTGAGTCACATATGGATTCCACACACCATATAAGACATTTGATAAATTTTTTAAAATTTCTAATATTTTTTATTTTGAAATGGTGAGTCGGACATTACATACGTGTCATGTCACATTGGAATTCGGTAGCTCTGTCAGTTATTTAGGACTTGTCATAACTTTAAAAAGTCAAAAAATAATAATTCTGTTTAAATCACATCACATCTTTATCACATCATTTCAAATCCAATTCATACCTAACTCATATTTAATAAAAAGTTAAAGAATGTATTTATTTAGATCATCTCAAACAACCAAGAAGCCTCTATAATTTCTCTTTTGTATTAAATAAGTAAGAAATAATAAGAAATATAGTATATAATGATTAGAGTATAAATACGTGACGCTTCATGAACACTAAATAATTTTTCCAATTCACAAAGTAGATTTAACGGTGTTGTTCGGTTTGTGGGGCCTACTACGAGTCTTGTTTTAATAATTTGAACTGTTTAATATGTAAAATTTGTTGAATACTTTATTTTTATAAAAAATTATATTAATCAGATATCGATAGCTACTTAATTGAATTAAATTTTTATTAATAATTTATTTTAAAAATTATCTTTACTATTGATAAAAATCTGATTCAACCAAATAATTACCGATATTTGATCGCTATAATCTTTTATAAAATAAAATACTCATTAAGTTTTGTACATTCATAATGAACTTCGACGGATCGCATAACACCATCCAATCCAATCATGGACCGGAGAGAAACCTAGCCCTCAGTAGATTATTCCTGCCTTCCTTCCACCTATATTTTCTCCGCTAAGCCATCCGACTTTTCAACGAAACACAAGCAAAAATCTAACCCATCTGTCATTTTTGTTCATCAACCCTTATTTTGAGCTTTCATCTCTGATGTTTGTGCGTGCATACATCTGTATTATTGACTTCAATTGAATTTAATACACAGAGAGTAGTGATTTTCACAACTCTTACGAAAGGAAGAACAGAAGAGAACCAGTATGAGCTTTGAAGATCTTGAATCGGGACGCCCTTTGACTTCATTCAATGGTACCCATCTCCAACACCGACAACAGGATCCTTCACAGTCCGTCGCCGCCGGCGTCTTTCAGATCAACACCGCCGTTGCCTCCTTCCAACGTCTCGTCAATTCCCTTGGAACCCCCAAGGACACCCTTGAACTCCGTCAAAAACTGTGCGCTCTCTCTCTCTCCCCCCTTTGATTTTGTGCTTTGAATGCCTCATTGTACTATATAATTTGTTGTTTGTTCTTCGTGATCAGGATCATGATCACACAATAACCAAGTTCAATGGCTGTATTAGGCATGATTGGATCTATTTTTTTATTTTATATATTTGGTCCAAACAATTGAGGTGAGAAAGACAAACCACTTTCAAAATTAATAAGTTTTGTTTCTCACAAAAAATTGTGGGATTTGCTTATAAAAAATTTAGGATAAATTACATTGCTAGTCTGTATTTGGCCTCTTGTGTCATTGTGTCATTTTAGTCCTTGTAACCGCTCAATTTTAACCTTTAATTTTAAATTTTGTGTAAATTTAGTTCAATTGATAACGCCTTAGATTTTTGAAGAAGAATTATTAGTTAATTAGTTGAGATTAACACAGTATAAGTTTACAGTTTTCCTTATAAAAGGAGTAATTTTTTTATATTTTTTTTCCCTCAATGAGTTATTCTTCTATTGGGTTTCATTGAAAGAGGTAATTTACATGGATTTGCTTTATGATCTACCCTTATTTTGTGATTTATAGCTCTTACATAAAATTGTGTTCATTGGCAGGCATAAAACTAGGTTACATATTGGACAATTGGTGAAAGACGCGTCAGCTAAGCTTAAGGAAGCTAGTGAAACAGATCAGCACACTGAAGTCAGTGTGAGTGCATGTGCAATTGGCATTCTATGCTATACATTTTTATTTTACAGATTATTATTTTCTTTCTTTCTTGATTTCCTTTAGATAACCACTTTTTACACTTCATTTTCAAAGCTTTGCGTCACTGTTTGTGAGAAAATTTCCCTACGCTTTGTCAAAATTATATTTTGTAATTTGGAAAGAGTTATCTTCAGAGGACCACCTTGAAATTTTTTCATTCAACTTCAGGCCAGCAAGAAGATTGCGGATGCCAAGTTGGCAAAAGATTTCCAGTCGGTTCTTAGAGAATTTCAGAAGGCCCAACGACTTGCAGCTGAGAGGGAGACTGCATATGCTCCTTTTGTTCCTAAGAATGTTCTTCCTTCCCGGTATGTTGGCTAGACTCATTAATTACTTGGGTGTGTTATAGATTTGTTTGTTTCTGGGCTGAAGTGTCTTTCAATGAGGAATTTGTACAAGTTCCCTAGTTGGCATCAACCATCAACTGTTTTTGAGCAAAAAATGTTGAATTGTTTGATGATATGAGAAACATTATAGAAGTGTTTAGTACTTATTATCAACAAAAAAGATTATGCAAGCATGCTACCCCTTTTATTACCCTCTTAGAAACCCTTCAAAAAGTCTATATTTTATCAACCTTCTATCTACTATAAGCCAGCTAAATTCTGCCTCTATTATCTACTCTTTCTGCTACCTTATATTAGTTTCAGACACACTACTAGTGGTATAGATTTTCCCCGTACTCGTCCTATGTCATTTAGCCGTTTGGTACATTCAATTTATATAAGGAACCTTATGGATGATTCGATTGGGCATAGAAGTGTGGGAAAACTAAGAAGTAAAAATTCTAGACCATGTGTTTCTGTCACTGATGTAGTCATGAGTGAGTTATCATTTATCAATACTGCATTCTTTAGCTGCCCAGCAGATTGCCAAAGCTATACACATGATGGGTGCCAATGATCAGTATGATATATTGAGTACTCCTATATTGGGGGGGTTTCTGAGTACACCTACATTGTGATATGGATCCTAGTCTCTTCTCATCATGGATTATTTGGTCAGTATTGGCTGAAATTTGGTACTTAATAAAACTTCTATTGGATTTCTATGTAGAATTGGGTTGGTGTCTCACATATTTTTTGCAAATTGACTTCGAATATTTCATCTAATTTCCTTGATTAAATTTTGATCAGCAATGCTAGCAGTGAGCTGGATATAGATTCATCAAGGAGTTCTGAACAGTTTGCTCTTCTCGTGGAATCTAAAAGGTGGGCAACCTGTTAAAACTTGAGCTAGAAAACTTTAGGCCTGATTTTTTAGCAAGTATAGAGACTACTATAATGGTTGTATTGTTGTAAATTACTGATTGGTTTGTGTTACTTATTATCATTATTTATTAAACATGCTTGCCTATCCAATTTATATTCATAATTATTTTAGAACATTTGGACTTTCTTATAAATGTGCTCCTCCCGAGTGATAATAATGATGTAGTCTACCAATTAACTCCTGTTGAAGTATGGTTCGTCCCTGGTTTGATTAGATCCAATTTCTTGCAGTTTTGATGAAAAATGCTGAAATGGGGCATGGCCCTAGCCTTACGGATATAGGCCCTGTTTGGTAGAGCTGTGGGAAAGTACTTATAACATATGCCGTAACAGCTTATAACTTATAACTATGAATATAAGCTGATTTCTGACTTATAAATTAAGTTTCTCCTGCCTCACTCAAAAAATAAGCTGATTTCTGACTTACAAAAACCTAGAAGCTGTGTTATCCCAGATAGGCAACCCAAGAGGGGGGTGAATTGGGTTATTAAAAATTTCACAATATTAAAAATAACACAATATTCAGGATTTTAATAAATAAAAAAAAACAGAATAATAATTATCAATATAAAAGTAGAAGAGATAGAGAGAGAAAATCAAACACTGCGATTTATAGTTGTGTTAATTTCAAGTACTTTATCATAATGCTCTTTGAATTTGTATTCACAATTCGTCCCTGGAGGAATGATTTAATACAGGCAGGAGGTTGTCATGTTGGAGAATGAGAGTGTTTTCAATGAAGCCATTATTGAAGAAAGAGAACAAGGGATCAAAGAAATTCAGCAGCAGATTGGTGAGGTGAGTGAGATTTTCAAGGATCTGGCGGTGCTGGTTCATGAGCAAGGAGTTATGATTGGTTAGTTTTATTTATTTGTTATTTTTTAATTTGTAAAATTTCTCCTTTTGTTGATCGTATGAAGCTTTAGTCTAATTATTTTACAAAATCTGCAATATATTTTCCTTCAGATGACATTAGCTCGAACATTGATAGTTCTCATGCTCAAACTGCACAAGCTACTTCCCATCTGGCAAAAGCATCCAAGATGCAAAAATCTAATTCGTCTCTGGTAAATATTTATTTTTAATTTTCATCTTTTAAATGTTTATTTAATAATGTGATATAAACTTAAATGATATATTTGTCTAGAGTGGCCTGTGAAAATATAGGCTATTAATTCCATCATATCCAAGGTGTGGGCTTCGCGTTGTATGCATCACACCCAAAATGCTTATCAATGTTTGTAGCTTCATTGCCTTTGAAGTTTTTTAGCTTGTATTTGCATTGAAATCAAGTACCCTAGCGTACCAAGTGAGTAGTTTGGCCCAGTGGAAACGCTCTTGGTGGTCTTCTCATCAGTCGGATGTACCCAATAAAAAAAAAAAAGACTATCATGCCATGAATATTAAATGTAGACCATCATACTATGCTTCAGTAACTATGGTCCCAGGCGGTATTGACATTACGAGGTGAAATTTTCATTTGAAACTTTTAAAGCTCTGAGTTCAACCAGTCAGCCGTTTTCAAACTACATTGGATTTTCAGTCTAGCCAAAGGTCATAAAAGCAATGTTGCCTAGTATCTTTTTTTTAAAGCATTATATATGTGTATATATATATATATATATATGTATATGCTTATAGACTAATATTGTAGTTATGGTATCAATGAGTAAAATATCTAGTTGGGTTGTTTTGGTGTATTCAAATTGAAAGTTACCGAGTAAGGCGCGCAGCTAATTTGAGTGAACCTCAAGTCGTAGAAATGTGACCTCTAGCAACCTTTTCTTTTTCTTTCTTGGGGGGAAGAAATATCTGACGTTTTTTTAAACTTTTCGTGCAGACCTGTCTATTGTTATTGATCTTTGGGATCATTCTGATTATTGTGATCATAGTTGTGGTGGCATGACCAGCAATGTTGGTATGAAATTGAAGTCATTTCAATACATACTTTCTTTATCAATATGTTTGGTGAAAGCTATTACTGATAATGCTGACTGAGGTGAGCTGGTCACATCTGGTCCGACCACAAAGTGTCTGAAGTTATTGCTTACCTATTGAATATATGTATTTTTATTTTCTTTTTCTTTTTCTTTTGAAACAATAAAATATTGGAAGTTGATCGCCTATGTACGGTCTTTTCAGATATGGGGGCAGACCACCTCTTACTATGAAGCTTTATTACAGCAGATTATGTGAACAGTCTGTCTGCTATAGTCAATAAATGTGATTCTTTTCAATTCTTCTCATTTGACTGCAAAAGAAATTGTATGTCTTTGGGGTTTCAATAATGGTGGCTTTGGGGTGGAAGTTGGGGGGTGTGAATGAGATGGAGGTGATGGCGGCTTGGCTTGTGGGTCATGGTGGCAGCAGCAGCAGCGGCAGCGACTGTGGCAATTGGGGGTGGAAGGGAGTAGGATGGACCTTGTCTGATGAAGTTTTTGTTTTTTAAACATATGAGGGCATTTTAGTCTATTAATAATATCTGTTAGTGGGTTTAAGTTTAGAGGCCCATTAAGAGACGTTTGTGATTTCTCCATACTAGTGAGGCTGAGTTTTATTTTGGACAATAGTTAAAAGGATATTAGTGTAATTTTGTCCAAATAAAAATTAGATTATAAAATTAAGGATATTTGGATTAATGTGTTGTTTAATTGGTTAACATGACGTGATTACATAGCAGACGGGTGTTGAAGCTATTTTTCACTCGTGGGTTAATGTTGACATGGAGATTCTTTCACTATTTTTAAAAAAGGAAGGGTAAAATGCAGAGGGAGTAAATTGATTTTGCCTCAAGATTTAACAATCAGGCAACAAAACATATAGCACCGAGTTTAGGACACAAGCTCGAAGGAAAAATTATTTGGAGCAAACTAAGGTGAGATAATGTCCCAACTTGATTTTTATATTTAATTCGTTACTTTTTTATTTTTTTTGTGTGTGTGTGTGTGTGTCTAAAGAAGACAACTGAACAATTGTCTCACCATAAATGGAGTGGACCATGATCTAAGACCACTAAATTTTCAGCGTGTGTGTCTAAAGAAGACAACTGAACAATTGTCTCACCATAAATGGAGCGGACCATGATCTAAGACCACTAAATTTTCAGCTTAAAAGGGTTCACAAGTAACCAGCTGCCATGATTAATATAAGAAAGCATGAATGGAAAAAGCTTGACCACCGACTCCCTCAAAGCAAAGGGGAATTATAGTTCAATGGAAATAGCAAAAAATAAAAATAAACAAAGAAAAAGGAGAGAATTACACAAATATCGAGAGTTGCACCCTTGGGTCACATTTATTTGGGAGATTTGGTTGGAGTGCGAATGGTTAGGGAAGAGATTGTTAATATAGGGATTGTTAGTGAGGGGATTAAGTAAAAGTGTATTTGTTTCAGTAATAGTTTGGGAGATGATTAATGATGGGATTGTTAAATTATTTTTAAATTAAAAAAATTATTTTTATATTAAAAAAATTAAAATAAATATTAAAAAAAAAGGTGCATTTGGGATTGTTAAAATAAAATAAATTGGTTGGCTAGCTATTTTTTTTGGCCGATCGGCTATGTTTGTATACAAAGAAAAAAAAAATGCACTGTACTGAATGTCTGGGTGGACATCCAAGCAGAAGATTGGACAGATTGAAGCCGCTCATTATTTTCCTAATCTCACTCGTTTCCCAGCCAAGCTAATCCCCTTACTGAGGAGGATTACTAAATCGCTCAGACTATGAAGCCGACCTTCTCAAACAACACCAAACGTGCTATGAGTAGACCCATAACAATCCTACTCCAGTTCGGCCACTAAAGCAGCCAAACAAACCGGGTCCTGATGTTTGAGTTGTATTCTATCACAAAATGAGTATTTGTTAAATTTTTTTGGTCGACCCTGAATTACAATTTCCCCTAAAACAAACAATAACTACTAGTCTTGCAGCACATTGCAAAAATGCACACTACAAAAATGCACACAATTATTCTTTGTTTTGCAAATGCTAGTTTCAAATTCCATGTTGAATCTTTAGATTCCATGTTGCATCAAATGTTGAAACAATCTTCTGTGTAAAAAACAAAATAACACTAAAACAAATAAAATACTTACAAAAAGTTCTTGTTTCGGAAAATAAAACCAGTAAGACAGTGACCAAGTTTAGTGTGTGACACTCTGTCCTTAAGATAAATTTGTCGGCGCATAGGTGCTCACGGATTAATGGCGTCTATCTCCCAAGATATAATGATTAAAATCACAAATTGTAATAGCACTACAAACAATCTGTCAGGCGAACCAAACTTGAGTTCTACAACTGTATGAAAACTCTATGAACTAAATGAAGAACAATCTAGCACAAAAGGAAAACGGAAAGGAAATTTGGAATGAATGAATCTACTGGAAGGACCCTGTATTTATAGGGCAAGAGGTGTCTGTTCGGAAGGGTAAACAACCCTTCGAATAGGTGTGACCAGAATTTGAAGAGAGGTGATTGGAGAGGCACTAATTCTGGGAAGCAAAACTCGAATTCAAATTTTGGCACAAACGTTTGAATAAATCCATTAGGATTTCAAATTTTTCTCGCAAAACTTTGAAAAAATTCAAATGAATTTTGCCCAAAAAATTAAGCCCCGATCCACAACCCACACCCAGCCGGAAGGCGGCAGCGGCGACGTGCGTGTAATGGATGTCAAGCTCACTTTGTCCATAACTTTCCTCCTTACAAACTTGGGGTGCTCCTTTGGGCCTAATCCAAGTATGTCAATCTAAAACTTATACACTCATATAAGTTCTCTTAAAGTTTCTATGTGGGACACCCAAAATATGGTAACCCACATTTGACTCTTCAACTTTTCATTTCATGAATCCGAAAACGACGTTAACTTCCCATTCACTCATAAATGGTTTTGACGATCCGTCTTCACTGTGTGATTTGTTATGTGGCAAGGAACACATCACCACTTGAACCCACCTCAAAAGACGTGTGGGCCCCACTTAAATTTGAGCTCAAAGATGGCCCAAAATAAGCCTATAAATCACAATTTTTCAACAATCCCCCACATGAATTGAATTGACAGAGAAAAAATGCAACAACATGATGTTTCTAAAAAGAGTACAGAAATCGGAGATATTCTGCAAAGGTTAGGTAGCTTTTGGCTTTGAACCTTCCCTTATGAGACACTATCGGATTTACTAGCTATTCAATGAGCATGATGTCTTGAACTATTCAGCCATTTGTGTAAAACAAGACAATAAAACTCATACAGTATATTTCTAGACACAGTTTGGTTATTACGATTGTGTTCATTTTGCCCATGAATAACCTGGTACTTTGTAAGTGCTCTAGAGAATTGTAGCCCCTACAAGACTCATAGAACCGACCCAGTTCATACTCATATAGATGATTCTTATGAAAAGTATCTGGTATACTCCACTAGGTATTCCTAGATATAAGAATCATTAAAAGTATTGCTTATCCTAACATGCTGCAGACATCACTATTTCATCATAGAAATAGGTAGGAGTTCGACTTTCCAGTGATCCTTATGAGGTATACACAACTCGGTTGTCTCTTTGAATCTAGATCTTGAGATATCCAGTCAATTAGGTTAGGTTGCCGTTGTGGTAACTCTTATTAAATAGGCTTAAGTCCCATTCCCCTCGATGAATTCTCAACTAACTCTTTTGCTAATCCTTTGGTTAGTGAATCTGCTATATTGTCTTTAAACTTCACATATTCAATGGAAATAATTCCATTAGAGAGTAATTGTCTCATGGTGTTATGTTGACAACGAATGTGTCGTGACTTACCATTATACATATGACTCTGTACTCTACCTATTGCTGATCGACTATCACAGTGTATGCATATAGCAGATACAAGTTTTAGCCGCATTGGAATATCTTCAACGAAGTAACGAAGCCATGTTGCTTCTTCTCTAGCTTTATCTAAAGCTATAAACTATAATTTCATAGTAAACCTAGCAATGCAAGTCTCTTTGGAAGATTTTCAAGATACAGCTGCACCACCAATAGTAAAGACATACCCACTGGTGGGTTTTGAGTCTCTAATATCTTATATCCAGTTTACATCACAGTATCCTTCAAGCACCGCTGGATATCTCGTATAGTTTAGCCCAATGTTATAAGTAAATTTGAGATATCTTAGAACCCGTATAATAGCTTTCTAGTGTTCTACTCTTAGATTACTCGTATATCTACTTAATTTACTTACTGCATAAGCTATATTTAGGCGAGTACAATTCATCAAGTACATTAAGTTTTCAATAATTTGGGCATGCTCTAACTGAGAAATACTTTCCTGTACATTCTTAGAAAGAAAACAAATTAACATCCACAGGTGTTCTAGCAAGATGATTATCATCTTTGCTAAATTTGTCAAGTATTTTCTTAATGTAATATGACTGTGACAAAGCATATCCTTCTGATGTTTTGATAATTTTCATACTAAGAATTGCATTAGCAATCCTCATGTCCTTCATGTCAAAATATTTATTCAACATTTTTTTCGAAGTTTCAATCATACCGTTATTACTACATATGATGAGCATATCATTAACATAAAGACATACTATAACATAACCTTATTTGTGTTTTTAACATAAACACATTTGTTACATTCATTAATTTTAAATCCATTTGGCATCATTGCTTTGTCAAATTTCTTATGCTATTGTCTTGGCGCTTGGTTTAAACCATATAATAATTTAACCAATTTACGTACTTTCTTTTCTTTCCCTGGAATAGAAAATCCTTCTAGTTGTTCTATATCGATTTCTTCATTTAACTCACCATTTAAGAAAGTTGCTTTCACATCTATTTGATGAATTTGTAATTTGTATAAAGACACAATGGCAATTAGCATTCTAATGGATGTTATTCTAGTAACTGGTGAGTATATGTCAAAGTAATCAAAACCTTTTTTTTGTCTATATCTTTTGACCACAAGTCTTGTCTTGTATTTGTCCATTGATCCATCTGCTTTTCATTTTCCTCTTGAAAATCTACTTGTGTCCAAGATGTTTATAACCTGATGGCAAATCCACCAATTTCCATGTGTGATTTTGCAAGATGGATTCAACTTTGCTATTTACAGTATTTTTCCATAAAGGAGTTTCAAGACTGGACATAGCTTCTTTAAAAGTTAAAGGCACATTTTCTAACAAAAAATTTAGAAAATATGAACTAAAAGATTTTGAGATTTTAAAACGTTTATTATGCATAGATTCCTTTTTTTCATTT